AGTAAGATTTTTTTCTTTCGGAAAGAAGATAAGAACAAGAGGCTCACCACGGTGGTGCCGGCGACGAGATCGGTGCGGGCGATCGACGGCGGTGAAGACGGGAGTGGGATGTGATGGGCCGCTAAATCTAGACAAATCTCGAGGAAAATGGAGTTTTGAGGTCGATCTTCGAGAGGAGAAAGCTTAACTAGTGTGGCTCAGGAATTTCATTGAACACCTCATTTGCATAGGACGTGAGCTAGAGCACCACAAAGGCCTCCCCTCGCCGGCCAAAGAAAAACAGAGCACTGGGGTGCTCTGCTCGCGGGTGAGGGGTATATATAGGCACCTCATTGGTCCCGGTTCGTGGCATGAACCGGGACTAAAGGGAAGCATGTGGTCCCGGTTCAAGCCACCAACCGGGACCAATGATGGTGGGCCAGGAGCGAGGCTCATTGGTCCCGGTTCGTCCCACCAACCGGGACCAAAGGGGCATGACGAACCGGGACCAATGCCCCACGAAGCCCGGCCACCCCCCTGGCCTCATGAACCGAGACCAATGGCCCCATGGGTCCCGGTTCTGGACTGAACCGGGACTAATGGGCTGGCCCGACCTGGACCAAAGCCCTGTTTTCTACTAGTGGCCCTTGGCCATATTCGTGTTTTACACGTCCCTACTTCCCAACAATTTGCCGATATCATGACCAAGGGCTTGCCTACGGCGTCATTTGAAGAGTTTCGGTCCAGTCTTTGCGTCAGCCGCGGTGCCGCTTCGACTACGGGGGGTGTTGGGTATATGTGTTACGTGCATATTGTGTATTGAGACCGCCTCCTAGTTCTTTGTATAGTTGAGGTCCGTGGCCCACCTTTGTACACCATATATACGTGCATATGCACGAAGAGCAATACATCATGCAATTCACATATTCTACAGTAAGCAATACCCGCCACACTTGCATTGCTTGTATATATACCAGAGAAAAGAGACAGCTGCCAGCTATTAACTAAATCTGTTGTGCTATATGACGAATATAGTCAGCTAGAGTGCACTTAATTAGTTTCTTGGAGCAGAATTTGGAGGGAAATGTAACTGGTTTTGTGTGGAAGCATTGAGATATTCGTAGGTGATCGGGCCTAGCTTTTCCTGTGATGGTTGATGTGGCATCCTTTTTTCTTTCGAACCATGTGGCATCATTTCCTTCTCTTGTCAATTTGTCATCGGTGCTTTAAGTGAAACTTTTAGGTAGTTTATACGTGCAAACCTTGTTAAAACTAACAACAGATTTTGTTTTTGCGCCATGTGAGATCATGTGATAATCGGCTATGGCGTATGAGTAACTTCGCAAAGCATTGATTTTCAAAGTTATTCG